AGGAAGAGAGAATGTTACGTTTATCTCCGGTTTCAATGAGATAAGGTTCCAGAGCATCGCCAAAAACCTTATCACCTGCCAATGGAACTGAAGCCAGCTTCCATTTTCGGCGTGACTCCGCCTGCCAATTTCTGAGCCAAAACAGTCTTCTTGCTGCTACTGAAGATGCCATGGCCTTGGATGCAAATTTGGCGGAATTGAGAGTGGCATCTGCAGTGAATTCCGCCGCTGCAATAATTTTATTAAGGTCTTGGTGAGACCCAAGGTCAGAAGCAGGCAAGCTATTCTGGAGTTGGCGCAGCCATCATATGGATGCCCTCGTGAAAAAGGATGCTGCTGTTGAAGCCCGAACAGCCCATGCAGCAGCCTGGTGATTGCACTGGAGGGCCTGTTCGGAACGTTTATCATCCGGTTTCAGGATATCTTCTGGCTCCGTGGGAGTGCCAGAAGATGAGAATGAGGCCAGAACTGGAATGTCAACAGAAGGCACTGCCAGGGCATTGTCCAGGGCTGCGCTGACATTGTAGAAACGCTTGTATAGAGAAGATGGGCGAGGACCTGCAGAAGGGCAAGCGCACTGTTCCTTGACCATGTCCAGGAACAAAGTGGGAGAAGGCAAAACCTCTGCATGCACTACAGGCTTGGAGAAGAGTGAGTCTCCCTAGCTAGAGGGATTTCCTCGTGGCTCAGGAGGCACTTCCTCTGGTGACAGCTTGGCAGTGACCAAGGCCTTGCTGAGCAATGGCCTGAAGAGAGAAGAATTGAAGACCAATGCAGAGGATGTCTGCTCTGGGCGAGAATCCTCTTCCTCTGAAAGATTTTGGTCAAAAGTCTCGCCCTCTTCATGCTCTGAATGAGAGGAGTAACTGTGTTCAGATGGTAAAGCCCTTCCTTCCTCATCAACCTCCTCCCATTCTGATAGAGAAGAATGGATCCTGAGGTCCTGGGGCCTGGGGCCTGTGTAAATCAGGGTGATGAGGCAAGGAACTTATAGATTGAGAAGGGCCTGAACCCTTTCCAGAGGTTGAAGAATTTGCTTAAAGCCTTCAGCCAATCCCTGCCTAATGGCCAATGAGACAACATCTTGGATATCCCCTGGTCTATGCTCAAAGGTAGAGGCAGAAGGCTGAAGGCCCACTGCTGAGGGAGTGAAGGTGGCTTCAGGCCTAGATTGAGAAGAGGTTCGAGGCCTGGAGGGAGGGGGAGGAGCATAGGGCCCAGAAGCCTGTTGGAAATAAGGCCCAGATCTGCTGAGATCCTGAGGATCAGATTGTATTGCAGAAGCCTAGGAGACCAGGATGGAGGATGGAAAGGCTCATAGATAACTTCTCCTCCCCTGGGAGGGCTTGGCTGGGGCCCACGGGTATCACCTGAAACATGCTGTAGTTGCACTCCCTTCTGTTGAATAGTTCTGTTGAATTGCCTCTCTAGGGCTGCATGTCTGCGCTTTTCTGCCCACAACTCAGCCTGAGTTGCCTTCTTATGGGCTAGAGCCTTAGCTCTGATTTTAGCAGCCACCTCCCTCTGGACTGATTGAGTGCGTTGCCTACGTCTTTTTCTCTTATTGAGCTTAAGAGACTGTTCCACTGGGAGGGAAAGCTCTGCCTGAGCCTTATCTTGCTCCATTTGTAGAATAAAGGCTCTTGCAATGGAAAGAAACTGTTTGGAAATTTTTTGTATTAAGCCCCTTAGGGTATAAATTGGCCCCAGGGCTTACAAAATGGCCGCTCACCTCATGGTGGAAGGCTTCAATCCAAGATGGCCACTGACTAGGGGAAACAGGCTCCAAGATAGAATAATTGCTCCTTAGGCTATAAAGAGCCCTGAGCGGTCAGCAAAGGAAAAGGCAGCCTCCGGCCGCATGATCAGCTGGCTGACACTGTTATCGGTTTGCCGATCACTTTTTACGACCGCTCAAACCGCAGGCATGGGGGGAGGTCTACAGACGCTGCCCAACTTGTCAGAACAGTGCTCTGGCAACGCTACTCCCAACGTTGCAGGAGAGAGAGCCCTGCTCTCCAGGAAGAGCAGCTGTCCTGATCCCTGGGAGCTGCTTGAAGCGAGGAAAAAAGATAGTGAAGATCGCTGGTGATTGCTATCTAACAGAACGCTTTCAGAGACACAGCTACTGACTGAAAGGAGCTGAGTCAAAAGCTGGGGTCTCTCCTGGGGGCTGGCTTTTATATCTTAGTACAGACTCAGCTAAATGACATCATAGGAAGGAGTCAACCCATCCTGGGCTCTCGATGCAGCATGGAGGAGAATATCCAATCTGTATTGTTTATCCCACTATTTATTTCTTTTTTTTTCAGTTTAAAAATGGATAACTGGAAAGCTCATCTGCAGTTTCCATGTTTCTATATAAGAAACATGTTAAAGAAGCAGAATCAGCAGATCAAAATTTTGACTACCTTCCTGGTATGATTTCCAAACAAGAAGCTGTTTTCCATTTTCCATTTGCATTTCTTTCCAATATTGTACAACATTTCTGTTTATACTACCATTAAAACTTTTAAAAGGAAACAGACAGTACCAAAAAAGAAAAGAAAGAAACAGCTCCACCAATATTTTCCCTTTTCCTGCTTTTTTCTATTTCATTTTTTCACAAATTGCAAAATTTGGAAGTCTATTGTTGCTTTTTGTCAATGGTCAAAGCCAAGATAGCATATCAGTTACATTGGCATTCTGTAAGTGTTACTGCATTGGCCTTGAAAAAGACCCTGAAGCTATGTACCTCAGCATTTTCCTTCAGTTTCACCAAAGGTGAAACCATGCATTACTTACAATCTGAAAATGTTATTTCGTGTACTTTTGATCCCACCAATGTTCTACAGTACGTTTTCCTTTTCCTTGCCATAATGTGCTGCCATCATTCTCTCACCACTTAGCCCACAATATAGAAGGCAAGCAAGCATGGCCGCTTTAAAAAGCAATCCCTTTCTGGGTGAGATCCCTTATTCAGTGGTTTAGATATTACTGAGAGCCAGCCAAGAGTTACTGGATTTTGAAGAGCACCCATATTAATTTCATAAATAAACCAATGGCCAGCAGTCTATTTTTGCTACAGCTGCTGGAAGAAGACACTCAGAAAGTTTCCATAGAGGCAACAGAGGAAGAGGATGAAAAAGGACACGCTTCCTTCCAAGATGCAATGGGCATGATACATGGAGCATGTAATGCCACAAACCCCGCCCCACCCCTTTTATATGCCTTTTGATTAAAACTTTCAAGATAACTCAGAGATTTCTCTGCATTCATTTTTTAAAAAATTGTCTTTCAAATTGAATGTTTTAATTAACTCATCCATGTATGTGTGCCCAAAACCTAAAACATACCTGCTGCTTGAAAAGATTGCCAATTCCAGACATCAGGCCCAACAAGACAAATGACAACTGAGTTCTTCTATTAGAACAGAAAAAGTAATGGAGATGCAGCTATTCTACTATGTTGTTGGGCGCAACATTTATAGAAAAAAAATTAGAAGGTCAACAGAAAGTTGCTCATTTTTAATAGGAAACAGTATCTATTTTTTGTAGTTAAGTTAATCAGAAATTTCTCTGAACATCTTCTTAATTGTTTCTTCTGATAAATTAAGCAGATGCATTGTCTTCAGAGATCTAAGAGTAATTTAGAAGTCAGTCAGCTGATGATAATTGAAGATGGTGATGATGATTAAAAAGAGCTTTAAGAAATGCACCACGGGAAAAGTCACTTAATCTTACCCTGTTCTGTATTTTGTTGTTGCTATTATTGTTGTTACAAAAGAGGAAAGAAAACGGCTCTGAAAACTGATTTATTCAGAATGGTTTCTTAGTTCCAAACATCCAAATATCATTTTATTGTGTCCATGCCACTACAATTTCTGCTTATTTGTGAAAAATATGGAAGACTTACTAATGTCCTTTATCTTATTTTTGTTCTGTTTAAACTCTTGCACTTCTGATTTATATTCATAACATACCATACATACATATACACAGACACAAAATTATACATAGGTGACAAATATCCGTTAAGTGCTGTTTTTTTCTTGGAGATCTGGGTTCCAGTTTTAGGTTCTCCTGTAGATTTGGATGATGTAAATAGAATCAGCAGCCTTGGCTTCCATCACCCCTGATTTTTAACAACATTTATCTTACTGTCAAGTCTTACTTCATACTTGACTTACTTACTTCATTCATGAATATCTATCTATCTATCTATCTATCTATCTATGTGTATACATGTGTGTGTACTAATCCAAAGGGTGGGGGGGAGAAAGAGACAATAGTACAAAAAGAAAAGATAGAAAGAAATAACATTTCCAATTTCCTTTGCAGCAAATACAAGTATGATTATAAAATTATCTCTTACTCTATGATTACAAAACAGCACTATTTCTTCCATTACCTAATCTTTTATAATAATCAAAACCTCAAATCAGAAGTCCATTTTCTGTTTCATGCAGAGAATCTACAAGGGGATTCCAGTCAGTAATAAAATACAGATGTGGCTTCTAATCAAAGAAGTCAATTTATCCATCTGTACAAGTCCCATCATCTTTATCAATCATATCTCCATTGCAGGTAGTACCAAACATTTCCACTTTGGGGCATATAATAATCTCATTGCAGTTATCCTATATACAACTCAAGTACCATGACTTTTCCTCAAAGACTATTTAAAATGCTTACCTCAATTTTACTCCTTTCTGCAGTAATGGGCTCTGCAAGATATCTGAATCTGTAGAGCACATAAATCCTCTCTACTGGTAATGAATTGTATATTCAGAAATGAGATTTCTAAACTGCTATGTTGCAAGTGAAAGACAATTAGGAGGCCACATGATAATCTGGCCTCTTCAGCCCCCATCCCATGCCCTTGGAATAGCATCAAATCAAACCCAGAACTGAGTAGCTCAGCAAATACCTACATTTCTTTTTCCCCTTCTTTTCTCCAATCTACATAAGCATATGAATGAAGGAGGGCTGTGAAGATAAACACAAGAGGCTGGAAGTTACCTGCAAAGCTGTAAGAATATTGGCTAAGGCCTGGCCGTAGGTGTCATGGCAATGCACTGCCACAGCGGACAATGGAACTTCCATCATAACAGATTCCAGTGTTCTCTTCATACTGCCAGGGGTCCCCACTCCAATGGTATCTCCCAAAGAGACCTCATAGCATCCCATACTATATAGCCTTTTTGAGACCTTATTAGGGAGAAACAGAGTTCTTTCAAATATAAGTGAGAGGTAACAAGGGAAATATCAATGGTCTACTTTAATGTTACAAATTCACATGTGCCAAAGAAGAATTTCCGAGGTATTAGGAACCCATTCATTTTTCTCTTCAACTGGTTCATTTCTACCTCCTTTCCAAGATTTATGGAGCATCTAAAACTGATAGCTTAAAATTTTGGGAATTTTAGTCGCAATGGGTCTGGAAGGCATTGGGTGGGAAAAACAGATCTAAATTGCCAAATCAATCTTTGCACTTACATATGCATGCCACACTGCCACCTTGTAGGCCTTTTAAATCGAGATTTGACAGAACAATAAAACATTCCACTAGGTTTTAGTCAGCCTAAACCAATTAAGATGGGAAAAGGCCCTTCTGATATTGCAGTATATTGTCTGTTTAACAAATGAAAACCAAAGCAAATCCCTGTTTCATATTTAGGTAGCCCTCGAATTACAATCATAATTGAACCTGGAATTTTGGTTAGAAGTCACTGTAGTCATTATCAGACCAAACTCAATTTTACAACTATTTTTATGACAATGGTTAAGTAAAACACCATGGTCATTATACAAAATCCAAACTCAGGTTACCCAAAGGATAGGTTGGAAAGTGACCAAAAAAAACCCCTTGCAAAACACAATTGCATGACCATGGGACACTGCAACTGGTCATAAATGCGAACCAGCTGCTGTGCCCAAATTGTGACCTCATGACCATACTGATGGTGCAGTAACTTTGAAGGCAGGATTGTAGGTAACTTTTATTGAATCCATCGTAAATTCAAAAAGGTTGTGAGTCAAGGTTTATCAATACCTAGCTGAGTTGTATTTTTAGTCCTGTTTCCAATTTTAAAAAGTATTCAGAGTTTACACCCCTTCCCTCTTTTTAAGGGGAGGGGGAAATAAACTCATATTTTAAAAAAATGCAGAGCACGAGGGACTACTTTTCTCGGGATGAGACTTTTGTTTGTTTGGGGTGGCAGGTCAAAGCTTGTTGTCCAAGAAACAGAGTAGTGATGAATCAATGACCGGCCCTCTGCTGTTCAGCCATTCCTATTCCAAGAGATAAACATTTACACACATATTCTTTTTCACATGGGTGGTTCTTAGACTTAAAAACATATTTTTGTTGCTTCTGCAGTCCATCTACTCCTCAGATGTAGAAAAGGCAGTTTGTATAAACTCTATCAGCTTTAATACTAAATCTTGGCTTGAGCAGAAGTGTCCGTGACAGGTTCAGGAAGGCGCCTTTATTGCATCGAATGAAGAAAATCCCCACCATATGTTTTACTTTCTGGCTTACTAAGTCACAGTGGGAGCTGATGCTTCTATTGTTATCAAAACCGACAGTTATTCTTGCTTCTGAAAATATACACACATAATATATTTGATGGCAGCTAATAGTTATGGCTCATGCTATTTGGATTGGAGATGGAGGCTACTTATTGTCTAATACAGCTAATAGACAAGATATCAAATTATATAGCTGAAATGTAAAAAAAAATTCCCTTCAGTGAGAAGAACTGACACTGATTTAAAGATTAGAAGTCCTTTCCAAAGTACTTGGCAGTTCCATTTCACAGTGCATTATATATAAATAAATATATGTCAAGCATATTCCTGAATTCCCAGTTTTAATTATCACAGGGGAATGAATCATGCATGCAGCCATCCCTCTAAATTTCAAAGAATAAGGAATTGCAGAGAGATATTTAATACGCACATATTCTGGTTTGGTTTTAATTTAGAAGAAATAGTCTTACTTCAGCAACCTTAGCTGGAGGAATAGTTCCTTCATAAGGGCATCCCAATGCACAAGACACATACCTAAACAAGGAAAAGAGGTACATTGTTGATATGTATAATTCTCACAAGCAATCACCATTTTTTAAATCTGGTATGCACAATTAGAAAAAAAACGTAATGGTGCACAAATTTAGTCTGCAAAGTCAGACTAAAGTACTGATAAAATCGAATGCAACCTATCAGACACCTAGTCACAAATAATATGCCATATACCTAAATGCAAACTACTGGAGAAAAATATATCCAATGTTCTTATCACATTTATTTTTAACTACTGTAAATGGATTTATATTTACAGTTTGACTTCTACTGTCCAGTTCAAACCAGCATATTATCTGTACTGAGATCACAAAATAAAATATTGCAATGTTGGGAATGATGATTCTGTGCACGATTCAAGAAGTGATATGCCAAGGCAAGGCACCTTCCCTTCAAAGGAAGAAAGGCTCATGCAGCGGACCTCAATCAGGATATTGCCAAAGCAGCCACCCAACTCAGAATACTTACATATTATATAAATGGGAATCCCATGCAGCTGACAACTCCAGGCTTACCATAATCTGCCCCACCCTTAAACAGAACTTTGACAATAACCTATTTTGGTGCAAAATCCATTGTTATAGAACTAAAGAGCTCTGAATTTATTTCAAATTCCGGAACTGTCTTTCATGCAAAAAATTGTCGCTTCTACCTTTTCCCCAGTATACTGGGAGGGAGGAGGACTAATAGAACATCTATTAGTAAGTCTATCTGATTTATCTGTAAGTCTTACATCACCTTCTCTCCATCCCTACTATAGAAAACAAAATGTATACTACAACCTGCTTCTTGGAGTTTACATCAGCTAACCAGCAGCTACCCTCCTCTGTCTCCCTACCAGAGGCTCACTGCGGGTTTTTCTGTTTTCAGGCCTATAGTTAAATTTTACAAGCTATCTCAGTCTTTCCAGCTGCCATTAAAATACTACTGTAGCTTTGCTCATCGAAGGCATGTCTGACACCTGCCTTTCCACTTGCTGCAGCTACACACACTGTATAGTGTATATCCAACACTACCTGCCCATATTCCATTCACATTCTTGTCCGTTAGGTAGCTTGCAGTCCCAACCCAAATGTATATAAGTCAATTTTAAACTTTTGTGGGCAAATACCGTGTTTCTCACAAAATAAGGCCAGGACTTTTTTTTTTTTTTACTCTTGAAAAAATGGCTAGGCCGTCTTTTCAGGGGTGACTTAATTCCACCCCCCCCCTTGCATCCTCAGGTGGGTGGGCAGCAACAGCTTGGATGTTGACCTCGGCGTTGGTGGGGCACTTCCTATCGGGAGACTTTCCGCCACCGTTGCTTTGCCTTCTCCCTTGCTGCCGCGGCGTTTAGAGCAACGCCGCAGCATTTGGCGCAGCCATGTGTGGCCAGCCAGGGCTCCTCCCTGCAACCGGAGCCCGGCGGAGACACTCGGCTTCAGGAGCTCCTGTCGCCGCCTTCCCTTTGCCTTCGAAGGTAAAGCCAATTATTTTAAAAAACAACGCCCTACTACAACAAAGCCTCCCCTGCCCAAGAGGGCAGCCCAACCCCACGTGGGGAGTCGAATCTCCCGGGGCCGCAGCACAGGATCGGCCCACCTCGGGAGAAGCGCCCAGCTCCCATCCCTGCCTGGCGCCAGGCAGAGCGTGAAGAGCTTCGCCTGGGGCGCCCAGCGCAGCTGACAGGCGGGCCCTCCTTCCCGGCAGCAGAGCTCTCACCAAGGCAGTGAGTGCCTCCCCACCGGACCCTCTGCTCATCCTGCCAAGGCCGTGCCAGAGCCGCGCCAGAGCCGTGCGGGCTGGGCAGAGCCAGGAAAGCGAGCCGTGGGTGCATGCCCGCCTGCCAAGCAAAAGAGCCGGGCCAACCTGAGCTTGGCTTCCTTCCCAAGTCCCTCCAGCGTGAACCCGAAGGGGCCACCAGGAGAGGCTGCCCGAGGCAGTGATAGCGCCCACCCGTCCGCAGACAGGGAGACGAGGTGATGGCAGCACTGCTTCCCTGGCCAGCGGAGAGAGTCCAAAGCCACCCGTCCTTTCCACCCCTCGCCCAGCCCGTCCCCGTCCCCATGCATCTCCCAATGTGCCGGCAGCTCCAAATGCTGCAGCGGAATGGGTATCAGGCAGAGGCGCTGACTCGGTGGGGCTCAGCTTGGAGGAGGATGCGGCACAGGCTGTCCCCTTGCCTCCCTGTCCACGGATGGATGGGCGCTATCACTGTCTCAGGCGGCCTCTCCCGGTGGCCCCTTCGGGTTCGTGCTGGAGGGACTTGGGAAGGAAGCCAAGCTCAGGTCGGCCCGGCTCTTTTGCTTGGCGGGCGGGCACGCACCCGCGGCTTGCTTTCCTGCCTCTGCCCAGCCTGCACAGCTCTGATGCAGCCCTGGCGGGATGAGCAGAGGGTCCAGCGGGGAGGCGCTCACCGCCTTGGCGAGAGCTCTGCCGCCGGGCGGGAGGGCCTGCCTGTCAGCTGTGCTGGGCACTCCAGGTGAAGCTCTTCGCGCTCTGTCTGGCACCAGGCAGGGATGGCGGCTGGGTGCTTCTCCCGGGGTGGGCCGATCCTGCGCTGCGGCCCCGGGAGATTCACCTCCCCACATGGGGTTGGGCTGCCCTCTCGGGCAGGGGAGGCTTTGTCGTACCGGTAGTAGGGTGCCGTTTTTAAAAGAATTGGCTTTGCCTTTGAAGGTGAAGGGAAAGCGGCGACAGGAGCGCTTGAAGCCGAGTGTCTCCGCCGGGCACCGGTTGCAGGGAGGAGCCCTGGCTGGCTGTGCGTGGCTGTGCTAAACGCCGTGGCGTTGCTCTAAACGCCATGGCAGCAAGGGAGAAGGGAAAGCAATGGTGGAGGAAGGTCTCCTGATACGAAGTGCCCCACCAACGCCAAAGTCAACGCAGGCAGCACCATATCCGGGTATGCAACAAAACTACTTCCTAACAGCAAGCCCCCCCGCCATTCCCCCCGCATTTCGCATGTTTAATATAGGCCTTAATTTGGGGGGGAGGGGCTTAATTTGATTTTATGCCGATAAAACATGCTGGGCCTTCCTATTGGTGGAGGCTGTATTGTTGGAGAAACATGGTATATAGCACTCTTCTGTATTTTCAAAGACTATTTTTTGATGACTCAGTGGGAAGAATGATTAAAAAAACCCTACTGTTTCTTCTCACCTAAAAAAAAAAAAAAAGAACAGAAAACCATGGATGGAATACTAGCAACTCCACCTGGAAAACTCCTGGGAATTGAAATTATCAGTTATTATGGATGTTGGTCTTTTAGAAGAAACATTTACAAAATATAGCTGGATAATTTATCAGCTCCCATTAAATGAAAATAAATCCACACAGAAATAGTCCCACACAAGAAGTCCAGCTCTTGCATGAATATGATGGTTACAAAAGCAGACACACAGACAGACAGACAGACAGACAGAGACAGACAGACAGACAGAGTCAGACAGATAGAGTGATTTGACTAGCACAGCCAAATGCAGAGAGATCCCCAACAAGCTAGTCTGAGACACAGATGCTGCTGCTTCCTGTTTATTATTATACTGTATATTTGAATATAATTTACATTGTTCATTGTAGAAGCATTTATTTTCATTGGGAAGTTCATGTCTGAAGAACAGATATGCATCCTAAAAGCAAATTCTTAACATGGCAGTTGATATTTTCTTAGCGAATGTTATATTATAAAACCGCCAAATAATTGCTGCCAGAACACTAGGAAATAAAGGGAGGTTGTAATAATAACCTTAAAATGTCTTCTAATTAAAGCAAAGCTTTAAAAAAGAATAGGACTTTGGATAGTTCCAACTGTATTCCAAAATTGCTCACCGCAAAGTACCATACTAGATGATGCAACACATACTGTATTTTGAGTAGATTTGTATAATTTGTTCAACAGATTTCCATAATAATAGGAGTGTTTACAACAAAACTTCAATAAAACTATTGCTGTCATTCCTCAATCCTATTCCCAATATAGATTGTAGATCTATTTTCTGATTTCAAACTTCAACAAACATGAACAATATTATGGCCATTTATAGCAAAAAATTACTTAATATGAAAAATACCACTGCTGATGAAAGAATACAAATAATTTTCATATCCTTTAAGCAGATATGACACTTTATATTATCATTACATTGGATGCTTTTCCTCCCACAATGAACTTTAGAAATGAAGCAAAACATTTAATTTTGCTTCATGGAAGTAAAGTCAATCACTTGTGCCATCCACAAATGGACTCTCTTTTACTTATAAATAGAGACACATTTGCGGAATCACAATTTGCTTACTTGGGATTTTATTTGCTGTTTTTTAAAGTTAAAAAATAGCTTCAGGTTGCAGATTGATGTTAAAAGTGAGTTCCAAATCTGTTATGAACTCCCATTTTTCTCAAAATTAAGACATGGGAAACCTCATTATATAAAGTTCATAGTCTCTCAAAGTATCAAAACTAGAGCCTGGGGTCACCTACTGAACAGAGGTTCAAGACTGAGAGAAAGAGTTGTCCCAGCCTGTTGAATTTTGCTAGACTACTACTAAATGATGTAGTGTTGGTTGCTAACTTGGATATTTTAAAAGAGTGTTCAAACTGATTTATGACATATAAAGTTATTAATGTTTTATCATGGAGGTAAATCACATCTTAACAAAAATTTTCAGTGAAAATAACAGGAAGATTTTTTTTCTGTTCACAATCTGCTTGTGGATTTCTCATTGGTATCTGTTTAGTTCCCCCCCACCATACACACAAAAAATGTTGAATACGACCTGGGTCTGACCGAACATTGTTCATATTCAAGGAACTACGGGGCTATTTTAATAGTCTTGTAAAGCAAGATCCAAAAAAATAAACATTGTGCTTTATAATCCTTACTCCATTTTCATCTCGCCATACTTTGAGTGAGTCAGATCATACAAAGAAACAGCATGATTTGCCAAGACCACCCAGTCAGTGTCTTGGCTAGCAGGCATTTAAAAGTGGTCTAAATGTGCCATGTTATTCACCTGCTTTACTGTCCCTAGTTTAATTGCAATATATTTATTTAAAGTTTTTTTTTCATGGATTGCATTTGCATTTCCTATCAGGAGAGTGTCTGTGATTATATACACTTTGATATCGGGAAGGCGCTGGGGTAGCTTTGAATTCTTTTAAAAGATAATAGCTTTCTGTGCAGTTTGTATTACCAGATTACCAGGAATGTTTTAGTCCAATTGAGCATAGAAAATATATTACAAATATTTTGATGGCTGGATTTTTAACACATTTCTTTGAACTGTGGCCTTACAGGATGTTCTAAAGTGGTAGGAAAAGTGCTGCTGGACTGGGGATAGCATTCATGAATTTGTCTGAGAATATGTCTCCCTTTATCTCTGTAACATAAATATCTGTAAAATCCATTTACTAAGCCAGCTTCTTTGAGTATTTACCCTATATTATTCAGGAATGTTATTCACTCCATCATCCATGATAGACAACTTGCTTTATGATACAATTCAGAATTTACTAATTAAGATAACTCTGTTTGCAGCAGTTGGGAAAATCATGTTGAACAGCAAAGTACACTTGTAATCAGTTCTACTGGAACTGAGAATTGTAGTAAAGGGTCAACTTTAGAGGGGAGAAAATATGTTCCCTATATTTTCCCCTCCAAGGTTGACTCTAGACATGTTTATGCATAGAGGACACTTCCACCAGAAAGTCTTCAAAGCTTTCATGGTGAGTCTTCACGACGTAGTGGTAACTTTGCAAATCCAGATGGGATTTTATTTCTGAATGAAATATTTTCAGAATGATTTGCAAAGCCCCTCCATCCAGGGCTTAGCTTCACTATATCTTGCAGCAGCAATTCAAAGAATTAATAATTACAGGTTGTTCAGAAGAACCACTTCTTTTCCTCATTTTGAAACTTTAGTAATTAATTTCATACACCAGATAATATATGTAAATATGGAGATCGGGTGTAGGAGTAATTAATAATGATATTTACTTATCTTTTTTTAAAAAAAATAGTAAGCATATGGCATCTTTCAATAAACAGTTCAAGCCTTCCATATGTCAGTTGATAAACATGAATATATATCAACGCTGGATGACCTTGGACCAAAGCCGGTCCAGCTGTAGCAATGGAACTTAAGAAACCTCTCTAAAGCTTTCAAGGAGATTTTTTTTCCATTACATTTACCCACTGATGTTGATCTATTCTTGCAATATAAACTCTAATTTGCCAGGAAAAACAGGATATAAAGCTTGAAACTCTTAACATGATTTCTGAAAGGTCCAAATTTGCCAGAATGCCTAAAGTTATACCAAAGTTGATGGTATCAAAAGCCATTAAGAAGCTTAGAAAAACCACCAGGTCCTCACACCACATCTAGTTTCTATATTCCAGCCTCGGTCATCCATCAAAATAATCTCAGGATTACATCCCAACCAAAAACCCAGGATAAATTTAAACAGAAGACAGTTGCATCCAAATCCACTGGGCCCACATCTCTTTTTTTTTTTTTTTTTGAGCCTTTACACCATTTACTCTTTTTGAAGTCCTACCCAAGAATGTTTGAGATGGCCTTGCAGTTACCAGGATCTTCTAGCTCAGGACACCTTTCCAATAAGAACTTTATGACTACTAGCAGCATTATAATCCACTCTGATGAATGAATTAATAAGAACCGTATGACTACTAGCAGCATTATAATCCACTCTGATGAATGAATTAATCACCCCCTTAACCATGGAGTCTGTCCCATCCAAGCCAAACTAATCATTTAGTAAGGACAAGGTATTGGGCAAGACAGTGGTGATCCTCATCTCCACATACATTACGTGCTAAAACTCCATGTCAACAGGACTAGCAGTAACCTCTCTGTCCTGCTCCAACACTGGAGTCCAAATCAAGGCAAATTACATCAGCTTTTTCTGCAAATAATGCAAATAAAGATGACAGAGAAAATGCTATGTAGAACAGGAAAGTCCCAAGGGTGCTTTTTCCAAAAGGCAAACTGGACTTTCTTTGTTTTTCCTTGATGATGTTTCGCTTCTCAGAACTGAAGAAGTTTCTTGCATAAGGAATGAAACAGCTTCAAGCAAGAACAAAGAAAATCCAACTGGCTTTTGAAAAAAGCACCTTTGGGACAACCAGGACCTGGATGACTAAGAATCTCCATAGACAATAGAACAGAAATGCATTGTTGGCTATTCTTTGTGGGTACAAATGCAATAAAATTAGTGAACACTCATTGTTGCATTCATTGTCAAGGAAAGGATTTCAAATAGGAGTTAAGTTCAACTACATTCCTTATTTGATTGAATCCATCCTGAACATTCCTTCACAGATCATTACCAATCACTTTAATTGCTGCAAATGTAATAAAAGACTGCTGGGAAGGAAGAAACCTTTGGAGATATCCAGACATTCGGAGGGTTCCAGAAATGGATCTTAAGAAAATGTTGGGAGTTCTTCAAATACATTGAAAAACTGCACAAGAGAAGTTATCTAATCTATGCATGGATATGATGTGTAAATTGGGATTTACAAGGATGTGAGTATTGCTGTAACTCTCTTAAGCAGAATTCTAGGTATTTAGCCAGTCTGAAGTGAAACACCTACAGCTTTATCACAGAAATGGAATAACTAAGACTCAATCTTAAGTCTTATGTTGAATGTCCAACAGAATAGACTGGGGTTCACTTCTGAGAAAAAAACCAAAAACTGTGCTGCAAATTAAAGGTCTATCTCAATTTCTTTAGTCAGTGTGAAAATATTGCAAAGAAATGGTCATATTAATAAAATTAATAATTATTACCCTCGCACTGGAATATCCATATTTCTTGCAGATTTAACTACCGCCTCAAATCTGTCCAGGCTTTCTTCTATAGTACAATTTACATTTATTTTACTGAAAGTCTCAGATGCTGCACCAAACACTGACACTTCAGTTGCTCCAGCAGCTATCTACAAAAGGAAACAGAACAGGAAGAAAAAAACCCATCATTTTTCTGAAGTAAATGGGAACTATACAATTATAGTATATACATTATTTTAACAGTAGTTCCTGACTTCTGTAGCAAGAATAACCCAAAAGTAGTCTAGCTATAATTAATCAAATTTACATGGAGTCATTCCAAGAGAAAACTAGTCCCAGTTAAGTATCTTAAGATCTAGATAGTCATTACCAATATAGGAACTGCTACTAACTAAAATCTTCTCAGTGGTGTCCAATAACAGACCTCACTTACTGGAAGCAAGGATTCAAAACTAAAGTAGAAAAGACAAGGCGTTATGTTACGCTATTATTTCTTGGCTTTTATTCTGAAAGGTAAGTGGAGATACAGAGTGAACTGAAACTCATTCACAAACTTGGAAAAGACAAGAGTAGTGCAATTTCTGTCACTTGGGGGACCACCAAGCTTAATGTGTGTATCAAAAGGGGGAGGCGTCAGGGAGCTTAAGAAGTAAAATGTGGATCCTGATCATCAGCACCCATTTACCCCCATAATGAAGAAAATAATGGTTGTACTCATTAAAATTGATGACAGAAGACTGAATATTTGGCACTCTCAGGATAAGCCATAATGTAGTTTGTTTATTTTGACTCAATAGCTTGATTGAATACAGGTAGTCCTCAACATACAACCATTAATTTACTGACTATTCAAAGATGCAGTGGCACTGAAAAAAGGTACCTTATGACTGTTTTTCACACTTGCGACCACTGCAGCATCCCCAAGGTCATGTGATCAAAATTGGGACACGCAGCAACTGGCATGTATTTACAATGGTTGCAGTCTCCCAGGGTTACGTGATCATCGCCTTTTGTGACCCTCTGACAAGTATGGGGAAGCCCGATTCACTTAACGATCGTATTACTAACTTAACAACTGCAGTGTTTCACTTAACAATTGTGGCAAGAAATGTTGTAAAATGGGGCAAAACTCATTTAACACAAGTCTTGCTTAGCAATGGACATCTTGGGCTCAATCCTCATTAGTCGAGGATTGCCTATATATATATATAGTAGAGTTTAAAAACCATGCTACAGAAGTTAATGGGGACTAGAGGTCATTATAATTGTTTGATCCAGCCATTGGAATATGATCCTCTTGACTGCAAGTTCTCAGGACTCGGTTTGCAAAAGGAAAAGACATTCCAGCCATTTTCCCAGCAGCATCACAAGTAAGACAGCAATGGTACCACATTGTTCCATGCTGGAATACTTCACCCCACTTCTGCCTGCCTCCTCAGCAGGGACATGAGGATTCTACTGTGAAGAGATTTCTTTAACGCTTGGTACATGTGCTGTCTGCACACTGCAGCAAGCGGGAGATGTGGATAAGCCCCAAATTTGGCACAAGTCACACATTTCCAGGAATCTAAATCCTGATTAATGTATTTTGGATTTAACTTCAAGAATGGAAGCTTTCTGTAATTTTGTTATTTCTAATTATACAATTCTTTGAATGCTTTGGAAGGATTTTTTTCCTTAATTTCTATCAAAAAGAGTGTTCTTTTTTATGTTTACCATAGCTAAGAGCACTAGTTTATTTGTTAACTATTATCCTGACTTTATATTGGGGCTGAAAGAAGGTAACTGGTCCAAACCCTCCCAGTAGGCGTCTGGGGATAAAGGTGGATTCAAACTTGCATCTCCCCAGTCTGTACCATGCTATTTTCATTCTATGCATACAGTACATATACATTCATACATACATACAGCAGAATGGAAACCATGAAGATTAGGAGTAAGGACTGGATAACAGACTCCAGGATATCGTTTTATTCCTTTCATTACTTCTGTATGATCTGCCATCTTTAAAAAAAAAATCATTTCACAAGGTTATATTATAGTACCTGATGCCTACCTCATGGCATTAATAAAGGAACACAAATAACACAACCCACTTACAAAAACCAGATAATCCAGATAAAATTGAGAAGGTATGTAAGATAATATAGTTAGTATAATTAATATTTGAGCCATGGTGCTGCTGTGATTAGAATGCAGTACTGCAGAGCTAACTCGCTGCTCCCTCCAAGAGTTCGATCCTGAGCGGCTCAAGGTTGACTCAGCCTTCCATCCTTCCCAGGTGGATAAAATGAGAACCTAGATTCTTGGGGGCAATAGGCTGACTCTGTAAACCGCTTAGAGAGGGCTGTAAAGCACATAAGTCTAAGTGCTATTGCTATTGCTAACATTTGTTCTCTTTCTCGATATATTGGTTGTTACGTGGCACTAGGTGTAAGAGCATCTCAGTATATGTTCTTTCTGCACCAACTCAGAAAGCTCAAACTGCCCAAGGAGTTACTGATACAATTCTACAGAGGAATTATTGAGTCTGTCATCTGCACCTCTATAACTGTCTGGTTTGGTTCTGCAACCCAACAAGACAGACACAGACTTCAGAGAGTAATTAGGACTGCAGAAAAAACAATTGCTACCAACCTGCCTTCCACTGAAGACCTGTATACTGCACGAGTCAAAAAGAGGGCTGTGAAAATATTTACAGACACCTCGCATCCTGGACATAAACTATTTCAACTCCTACCTTCAAAACGATGCTATAAAGCAGTGCACACCAGAACAACTAGACACAAGGACAGTTTTTCCGCAAACACCATCACTCTGCTGAACAAATAATTCCCACAACACTGTCAAACTATTTACTAAGTCTGCATTACTATTAGTATTACTATTAATCCTTCCTTTCACCCATCTCCTCCTACTTATTACTGTATGACTGTAACCTTGTTGCTTGTATCTTAACTACTTTTATGGACTGTTTCCTAGTATGATTTGATTGCTTATTGTACCCTATGACTATTATTAAGTGTTGCAAGTGATTCTTGACTCTTCTTTTATGTACACTGAGAGCATATGCGCCAAGACAAATTACTTGTGTATCCAATCACACTTGGCCAATATAGTATTCTATTCTATTCTATTACCTTTTAGTATGCCACAAGAAACTGTGTTGTGAGTAAGATATTGAATTGAGATTTGGGGCGGGCAGTTTGAGTCCTTGCTCAACATGAAGCTGCTTGTTGTCCCTGGACTTGCTCTCAGCCCAAATAAATGACCATATTTTTGTTGTGATGGTAAAAGGAAGTGAGACTCATATGTTTACCATCTTGAGGTTGCAGAGGAAAGACACTATTTGTGCAATCAAAACAAAGCTTTAAACCCTTAATTAAAGAATGTCCCTCATACCACCTAGCATAAGGCAAATCTTTAAAATGAAATGTACTTTATTTGCTGAAATACGAAACCAATGTGACAACATTAGTGCTTTTGAATATTATGAGACTCCTGGAAATATGGTTAAAAGGCTAAATATAAAGTACAATTCAAGCACCATGAACCTTAATAGTTTTGAATAGATTTTGTACAACAAATTTTATTCCTAATAATTTTTCTTGAGAGTAACGTCTTATTTTAACATTAATGTTTCTGCAATCCCTGTACGAAATGCAATTGGATACTTAAGCCATACACATTCCAGCGGCACCCGTTTATCATTCTTGGCAATTTCAATTATAGGTGTGGGATTCTGTTTTACATGGCACATTGCTACTGCAAACCCTTTACTTCTTCTGGCTGTTTTAACTAAAAAATATCATTTCCAAAAAAAACATTTGTAAAGAAGTGGTAAAAATTCAAAAATACCTTTAAGAAAGAAAAGATGGAAAAGTAACTAGGTATAATTTTATGATCTAAGAAAAAGCTGATCTAAGGGGATACAATTAGGATCATGCTTCACCGGCAAGCAATGTGACCTTAGTATGTAAACAAATTTAATGCAAACATCACACTGTTGCATTATACATGCAGCACTGAAATAGAAACAAAATGAGATTGTTTTCCACCCCTTATATATGGTCAACCTAGACCAAATTTGCTACTGAAGGAGCCTCACTGGGGGAAAAAAAGAAATTAAGAAAACATTTTTAAAAACTAAGGAAGTGAAAAGAGTAGTTTATGGTGGCCTTAAATATTCCTTGAAGGAAAGTAAGTATCAGAATACTATATTATGCTATAAAATGACAATAAGAAAAATCCAAAATGATTTTTTAAAGAACACAAGGGATGCCTATTAGTATAGGCAATTTAACAGATTTTGTTAACGCTAACATAAGATAGACAGATAGACAGATAGATAGATGTACATACACACACAGTATGTATGTGTGTGTGTATATATATACATACACATAGTGTGTGTGTATGTGCACATACACACATACATACACACACATAGTTTGTGCATATATATATATATATTACTGAAAGTTTTAAAAACAAAAATTAATACAAAGATTCAAATGGAAAAAAGAAAATGAAATAAAAGAAAAATTGCATAAAAAGAAGAAAAAAGCTAAAAGAGAAATAAAAAAGAACGAAGAAAGATATAAAGAAGTGGCTTCTGTTCTTCTTTAACAGCAGTTATAAATGCAATTGTAGATTTACCTCTTTCTCTAACATTACATTGTGACTCTCTTCTTTCTACAACCTTGCCTATGTAATCATCAAAACCATAGAGCATAAGTACATTTTTTTCTGTTTTATGCAAAATGTCCATAAGGGGGTTCCAGTCAGTGATAAATGTACTGTAGATATTGCCTTTTCTCTAATCAAATAGGTCAATTAGGCCACCTCAGGAAAATCTATCATCTTCACCAACTATATCTCTGTTGTTGTTCATATTGCCAAATCTTTCCATCTTTGTGTGTCCAATAATCTTGCTGTGTTGTCATATATAAAACAAAGACTTTTTTCCAACTGTTTATCAAAAACTGTTTATTTTTTCAGTTGTATATTAATCTTTAAAATCTTCCAAATTGGTGTTTGCATTTGAATCTCAAATCTAGTTTTAATGAGAGTTAATTCTCTTCTCTGTTTTTCTAAGATTGTCAGTATGAGGTGTCATGAGTTTGCTAGAAGGACCTTGCTGCAGTTTGTCCCCAAATAAGTGTAGGTGTTATTAATCTTCCATCACTACCATTTCATGTATCTTTAAAAGCTCTGCATATTTGCATTTGGAAGGCATTGCCCACATCCTCCCTTGGTTGAGGAGGGCAAGGAGGCATTAACAACAGTATTGCATTTGTTTTTAATCCAGATTCTCTCTACAGTATTGCCAGATTCATTCATTTGGATTTCTGGGCAAATATATTTTAATGTTTTAATTCCCAGTGCAACAACTATCTATTTCTGTTGCTTCTGCTCCTTTTGAACAAATAGTTTCATGCAATTACTCTATTCTAATTATAGAAATCATCCCACACAAGATATCCCTGTCTCCATTTTAACTATGAAATCATATCTGCTTTTCTGTATGCTGATACAAGCTCATTTTATTCATTTCCCATGTTTTGAACTATTATAGAAAATGGCAATTATAAACCAAGGTTCTTACTACATATGAATAGCTCTTATTTTTATTGCAGAAGCTGCAGGCAGGAGTGAGTGATCTGCTTTGTGAATTCAGGCTATCAATAGCATTAACTTTTAATCACACCATTTTCCCAAAGAAATTCATGTTTCATTTCAGAGGCTGCTGCTTGCCTAGTAGACAGGAAGATTCTATAAAGAAATCCAAATTTCCTGCAACAGATATAATATCAGTGGGATGTCCCAAAAGTGCTTTTTCAAAAGGCAACTGGACTTTGTTTTTCCTTGAAGATGTTTTGTTCTTTTCCAGAAATGAAAAAGCTTCTTGAATGAGAAGTGAAATGTCTTCAAGGAAAAACAAGGTCCAGTTGCCTTTTGAAAAAGTACCTTTGAGACAACCATGACCTGGATGACAAAAGGTCTCCATAGATATTTACTAATGAGATGTTTCTGTGGAGAAGCATGTTCACTGATTTCCCAAAGGCAACTGGACTTGTTTTTACTTGAAGCCATTTTGGTTCTCCTCCAAGATGCTTCTTCAGTTCTGCCTTTTGCCTACTTTTGGGATAACTATGACCTGGATGACTGAGAATCTCCACAGACATTCACTGATTTCTTCTCTCCACAACATACATGCACAAAGCATGATTGGAGTAGTAGCTTCAAGACAGAATTAAGGGGGGAAATCCATTCTTTCAAGGGACTGTTTTATCTCCCACAAACATAAGCATTTATTCCATTTCTGAAGATCCAAGTCTCAATCCAACAAAACACCTGTACTTATGTGTTTTTTTAAATCAAACAGCAGCCTTGGATGAAAACAGTTTTCATCAGGATGACAACATACAATGAAAACTCACATACACTCCTTTTTTTCCTCTTAAGATACTGTCTGGAAAAAACATTAGAGAGACATTTTGATTCAGACTATGCTGCCCTGTTATAATGTATAATTTGGCCCTAAATTAAAGAGAGCCATTCCATGAAGTAATGCCTCATATTTGCTTTAAGGTCAATTTATAAGATCACATGAAAATCCCCTTTACATTAACTTAAAGCCCACAACCAGATGTGCCACCTGAAGCTGTTTGAATATCACTACATTGTGGTGGTGATGTGGATATCCTGGTCACATTCTACTGTCCACTAACCCTGACCTCAACACACAGAGGATTTTTAAAGTAGTTTCCTACAGTTACAATGAATACCCATGTGCAGTTATCTTATATTCTGCCTCCCAACAAAAGAAGCACAAAATATTGCAATGCATCACTGTGCATTTTTCTCTAACCTTTCAGAAGTCAACAGAGAAATAACGGCAACATGTTGGCTACAGGATTAAGTCTGCACCACCTAGCATTAAAAAGGAAAAATCAAATGGGAATATCTTTTGCAAAGACTAATTTTTACTTTCTTTCCATTAACACATTTATCCAGAAACAGTAGTAATTCTTCATAGAAATTATGACTCCAATATAGTTTGACCTCTCTAATAAATATATCTATCTGGATTATAAACAAGCAATGTGCCCAAGCCATTAGAGTTTGCCTAAGGGCAAAGAAATTGTCATTGGTAAACCAATCAAGACTTAGCATATAACAACTCCAATAACTACAGAAAAACAAGACAGGGCGGAAATGAGAAGCAGTATAGGGAAGCTAAATAGAGAACTAATGGCCCACAAAGAGCATGTGGAGAAATTTCACAGTGCAAGAAATACTGGCAATGTTGAGTATTGATAAGTAATGCTCATTCCATCAGTTCTTTTACCTACCTGAGGTACCCATTTTGAAGAAACAAAGCTTGTCACTTCTATGACAGACAAGCCAGTTTGGGAAAGTTGGTCGATTAACTCAATTTTCACATCTGTAGGAAGTATAGCCTGCAAATTGGAAGAAATATCATTTCTATACAGCACAATGCCATATGTTAAAAACATCTTAGATCTGCACACAAAACTATTTATAATGCAATAAAATAAAATGTAAAAATCACTAGTGATGTTTTAGGTTATTGGGCCCAGATGCTCTTTTCTTAGTCAAAAGGAAACTAACACACATCCCCAGGAAATAAGTTGTAATACGCACTACTGTTGGCTCTTCCTCAGAGTCTGCAATATCTGTTTAATACAAGTGACACGGTCAGATGGAATAAAGACTATGGATAGCACATGTTTGGGAATACAGAACATATTTTTCTGACTATTACAGTAACTGGCATTGCACCAACCAGATCAAAGTAGAAAGTAAGACTGTCCCAAGAGCTTACAATTTAAAGCCTCCGAGGCTAAGAGAAAGACAAGGATGGAAATGTAATGCATTTATGATAGAAGAAACATGAGAAAATCATTTAGTCACAAAGTAAGACAAAAGTCAGAAAGCTGTTGTCAGTATTTCCATTGTCATGGAAATAGGGACCTCTCCTTCTACCAATGAACATTCCATCCTTTGCTAAGTAACTTCCCTCTTCCTGCCTTCTCAAATATATTCCAGAAATGTTATATGGAGTGGCTATGGAAGAAAAAGCACCACTTCCTTAATTTATATAATTTATATAACCACTGATGAAGAAGAGATTGATGATAACATAGTGATATTGCAAATGTATGCACTGGTTTATCTGCTTGTACTTGTGGTAAAATGTATCACTGAAACACTGCAAGACATCATTTTATATGTAGATACAACTACGGATAACTTCATGGGCACATATAAGATGTATGTACTTATTTATTTAAATTAGATTTTTATCTCCATTAATGTATTACTTTATAAGTGAATAAAGGTGGCAAATATATCTCTGTCCTATTTTCACCACAACTACAATCCTGTGAGGTGGGTTGGGCTGAGACAGCATGACTGGCCAAAGTCACTCAGCCAGCTTTCATGCCTAAGAGAGGACTAGAATTTACAGTCTCCTGGTTTCTAGGCCAGCACCTTAATCATTATACCAAACTGGCTCTTCTGTTCATCAAACTTCCAAAATTCTTCTGTCAAAACAAAAGCAGTTTGCATTGCCTTCTTCTAGGATGTTTTTCCATTTTTCAGTCCACCTACAAGCTTTATCATCTCCCATCCAAGTACCAACCAGGCCCCAACCCTACTTAGCTTTTTGTGATCAGCTCTTGTTGACTAAGTGCTTCTGCTTAATTATGCAAACATCACCAATTGCCCAATGACTTTTGTCACATCTGTATAATTTGGGGTAGCTCCCATCCCAAGGCTATGCTTTTCATATGTAAACATTTCATGAGCTGCAAAGCATATGCTTCTAAATGGCAACATTCCAGATAACAGGTCAGGTGGATGAAGGAGGCAGGGAGAGAGATCAAATCACATGGAAGGAGACGGTCCACAGGTCTTTCTCACTTAATGAGGAACTTCTTCTTTCTTACAAATTAAATGGGGAAAACCCATACGCTGAGCACCAGCTAAGTGACAAACATACACACTGAAGCTATATGGAATGTCACCAAAGAGAAATGGCTTCCATATGGATTGAGGCTTGTAAAGACATTTTGTGAGGTTCTCTCAATTAATATAATCTATCAAGAGTCCTCTTCTTAATATAAAGTTGCTATTGTACAGTATATTGTACTACTAATTGATTTCATAGTGATGCTATTAAAAAATATAACCATTTCAATGAGATGAAATAATCTCATTGCTTTTCCTTTTGCCATAGTTAGTCATATTGTGTTGATATTTTAAAGAGGAAAGTTTTTGAAGACAATATGATTGCAACAGCTACGATATTACTACAGTAAGTACTAAGAAAATGCTTACAGAAAGTTATTAATTAATTAATCTTAAATTTTAAAACATCACAAAAGAGGGAGATTGAGATCTAAACTCATGTGCCTTTTATATATTGTTATATACATTTAATGCATGATCAACTGTCTGGGCTTAATTAATATAGTACTGTCTTCCTCAAAGGCTCACTATCCCCATTATTAACATACCTTTTCATTCTGTAATCCATCTCTTGGACCAACTTCCACTATTTTAACAAACTCAGGAAAGCCACTTGTAAGCAATTCCTGAAACATAATATGAAAGATTTGTTAGCACGTAAAAGATTATAATTTAATCTACGCTAAGGCTTCCCTCTTTAGGGCTTTGCCTACAGCTTGTTTTCATACTAGAAACAGGTTCAGGACTGTGAAAGAGGGAACAATGACAATTATCTTAAAGAATCTTTGAGGAATGTCTTTTCATCATCATGGAAATGTTTCCTTGCAGATTAAGATCAAATAGACAGGATTCTAAAACATGATAGCCTTTTTCAACAAATGGTGAAGCTTAACTCTGCTCTTATGAGAAAATAAGAAGAGGATCGACTTGATCACAGCCAGATCCTCCTAACATAACATTTACATTTTCAAGAAACTGATTTTCATCTAGTTTGGGAATAATTTATATCGGCAACTAGCAACATTTGCATAAAATCTGTATTCCAGATGCTAATCCTGTGATCAAAGGAGAGTAAAGAAGAAATATGGTTTTAGAAATGTAATCTTCCTTGGAAGGCAATTTGGAAAGAAGGTTTTTCCGCCATTCATTCTTACCAACGCTTTCTAAACAAAACAAATTAGTTACCAATCAAGGCATATTTTATACAACTATGTAAGTGTGTGTGTGTGTGTGTGTGTGTGTGTGTGTGTGTGCCAGAGAGATATGGTAATGACTAATAGCACTGAATGGGATAAAACTAGACTTTTAGAGCCAGCTTTTGTATTTCTGAGCAATATTTTTGTCATTAATTGATATAAACTGAGGGTGATTTCATATACTTACATTCTTTTACATCCCCCAAAAAATCAGCATGAAATTGTGCTGGCATTAATTAGTGGCTTAGTGTTAAAAAGCAGCCTTAATTATTGACCAAATAAATAAATGTTCAGATGTCCCAAAAGATGCTTGCTCATCCCTTTGGTAGACATAATCTAGTTATGGCAAAGTTAAGATCTCTAACTATTCAATACAGAAGTACAGTATAATCAAAACCTGCCAAATCACAGGACTGTTGTTTAGTCACAACTTGCAGGACACAAAATCAGTAAGCTAAAAACCGAATTATTGTCTTGCTATGATTCTATAATGATGATCAATCAGATTGTAATGATAAGCAGAACATGAGTATTCAGTTCAAAGTTTCTGCCTTAATATCTAAAACACTTTACAAGTAGTCCTCAGCTGACAGCCACAATCAGAGCCAGAACTTCCATCACTAAGTGATGTAGTCTTTAGTTGAATTGCACTAGATTTTATAACATTTTTTGTCATAGTCATTAAGCAAATCACTCAGTTGTTAAGCAAATTTGGCTTTCCCCATTGACTTTGCTTGTCAGAATCCCCATGGGAACGTCACAAATGGGGACCATCGGACCCGGAGATGCTGCAACCCTCATAAATACATGCTAGTTGCCAAACAATTGACTTTTGAAGGAGGGGGTAGGGTGAAACAATTCATTTACCTTTCATCTCTGTTAACACCATAAGAAACAGAACATAGGAAATATCTGACTACGGGCATCGTCTGGCCTACAAACGTTTTATGACATCAGGGTGGACCTACACTTGCTGAATATATAAGCCCATTTCAAAGCAAAGACAAAGCTCTCTTTGGCTAAATAAAGGTAAAGAGTAAAACTTTCTCTGTCCAGTCATGTCCAAATCCGGGGGGGGGGGGTCGCTCATCTTCATTTCTTAGCCAGCAGAAATGAAGCCAGCATTGTCTTGGGAGCCAGCATTGTCTGAAGACATTTCTGTGGTCATGTACCATCTCCTCCAATTTAGAAAGCACTTCATTATTATTAATGAAAGACCTTTTCTCAGAGAGGTTTTGCAAGACCATCAAATGTTTGATCTTACAAGGCAAATGGCACACGTGTGGTATAAATGCCTCTGTGAGAAATGGGGGTAACATCTCAGGCCTAGTCAGAATGTGGTTATAATTTTCCATCATGTGTCAAATCTGTGAATGATCACAGCTATATGACAGCACCCACCCACCAGCATACATGGAGAAGTGAATATCACTACTATATTATTGTATAATATATTACAAGTTATCTTTTGTGGAAAATCTTAATGTGCTGTTTCAATTGCTCACACATGGCTATCAGATGGCTTGGTTGTTCTTCATTGCCATTTACGTAATGATATTTCTTTTTTCTCCTAGACCAGGCCAAACTTCACTGTATTATTTTCCTACCCCTCACAACAGTTGTACAGAAAAGATAGCTAAAAACTAGAATACAAAAGATTAAACCTCCCCACATCCTGTGATCATGAAACTGATTGGGCCTCTTATATTTACTTTTGAATGAAAGAAAAGCAAGAGGAGACTTGATCCTACATGTTTAATTTAATGCAGGGGTGGGCAATTTTATGACCTATGGACTTCAAATCCCAGAATTCCTGAGCCCATGTAATCTTGACTTTGTGATAAATATCTGGTGTTCAACTTAGTAAAGATGGGTTTATGTGGATCCTTCAGAGCTCTTTATCCATTTCAGCGCAATCACCATGGTTACAATAGCAGCCATTTAAAGTAAGTTCTAGAGCTCTGATGAAACTGTGATAAAGGGACTTCTCAAGTGAAACATCTTCCAAATGTGTTGAAAATTCCCAATTTATAATTTGCAAAATTCCCAGGCAGACTAAGATGCATTTTTTGAATTATTTCACCCCAATAAAAAAAAGCAAAAGATAGTGCAATGCTTAGCACAAGAACAAGAAATAAGAAAGGAATTCAGAAAAAGAAATCAAATTTCAGTTAACATGTTATAGTTCTATTTATTGGTACATGTAAACCGTTTACACCGGAGTTGGCAACTTTTTTCAGCAAGGGATCACGCTATCATGCTGATATTTATTTTCCTTCAGGGTAGATACAGTAACATTACAAAATGAAAAGTAAAAAAGGGGGGAGGGTATTTGGGGGGTGATCTGAATGTCAGAGTAAGGTGAACATGTACAACTTTTTGTTATTTATTTTAGCAAACCGCCATCCCTAACAAATATGTCCCTAACAATCAGTGGCTTTAATATAAACAGCTTAATCTGAAACTACTCCAGGGGCCTTGCAATCTCTGATTCACACTGATTCAGACTTCCCATTTTAATTTAACCCAGAAATTTAAATTCCATGAACTGGCAACATGGAACAGTGAAATATTAAGTGGAAAAAGATTTACTATTCTGATGTATACTGTAACAAGGAATGATCAACAGGGATTGTCAACCATCACAAAGATGACAGATCATATAAAACAAAAGGATAAGCTTTAAATTGGAGTTACGGGTCAGGGAAGGCCTTAGGTAAGACTGGAAGTGTTGTCTACGGGATATTTAATGAATAAAAGCTGGGTATATTTGCACAGCATTAAACCAGAATACCTATAAAAAGGCACAATTTTTTCAGCCAGCAGAAAGAGTATATCCAACTTTGGAATTAAATGGAGAGCAAAGAGGGTCAGATATGGCCATACAATTATTTAAACACAAAAAGCAACACCTTGGGAATTAAAATTCACTTTTTGGTAGTCTGAATCAAATTTAGCAACATTTCTACCTGCCCTAAAAATGACTTCTCAGGTCAATTTGAAAGTTTAGTCGGGAAGAGGGAATTATCCTTAGTTCAGTATTTGAAATAGCCAAATCAGTAGTTCTCATTAGTAACGTTAATCATCAAATAGTATCCCAAGAGTTATTTCAGTACTTGTCAACATAGTTCTATTTACTTCAAGGGTCAGAAAGCAATGGAGAAATATATATTACCATTAAAAACACAGAAAAAAATATGCGAGAGAGGGATATTCAAAAATTCATTTTGCCCACAGTCTTCTCACAGTCAAAAATGGTCTTGTTCTACTGTTATGCCTATTGGTAAAGAAACAAATATTACAAAAATACTATTAATCCCCAGCGCTCCAAAGGAAACTGATTTCTGATGTAATATTTCCAGCATTTCTCGGCATTTAGAAAAAAATGGAACAGCAAAAATCAATTGGTATAGTGGTTAAGGCACAGGATTAGTAAACAAAAGCTTTAAATTCTAGACCTGGCCTTAGAAAAAAAAGCCACTGGTTGATTTGGGGTCAGTCATTCTCTCTCGGCCCTAGAAAAAAAGACAAGGTCAAACCACTTTTAAAAATCTTGCCAAGAAAACTTCACAGACTTGCCCAGTTTTCAGGAGTCAACACTTACTTGAAGACTTTAAAAAAATGTAACAATGCCTAGAACATTAAAATAGCAGGGATTTATTTATTTATTTATAGCCTGCCTTATTATTATTTCATGAGCCATGGTGGCACAGTGGTTAGAATCCAGTAGTTGAAGGCTAATTCTGCTGACTGCCAGGAGTTCAATCCTCACTGACTCAGTCTTCCATCCTTCTGAGGTCGATAAAATGAGGACCCCGATTGTTGGGGGCAATATGCTGACTCTGTAAACTGCTTAGAGAGTGCTGTAAAGCACTGTGAAGCAGTATGTGCTATTGATATTTACAAATAACTCAAGACAGCGAACATACCCACCTTCCTCCTCCTTCTCCTTTTAAACTCTCAATTTTATTTATAGTATGCATTTACCTTCAAAAAATTCAAAGGAGCAAGATTTAAAATATAAACATAAAAACATCAACAAGTCAACTCTAGAGTAAAATTTATTCGGTGCACCCAGGTCCCTTACAGTTAAAATTAAAAGGTAAAGATATTTTTTTAAAACTGGCAACAAAACCTTACAACTGTTAACTGTTCCTTCAGTATATTAACATGTCTTCCTAAATTTGATCCAACAAAAATGCATGATTATAAAAAATAATAATGAAAGGTTATTAAATCTGATATAGCTCTGTGAAGTGGTAAGTACTATGAGTAAATTGTGTTGAATATCAGAAAGAAAGGGGTTTACATAAAAAGCTAAGGGCCTGGAGCATTTTCCATTTATCAAGTGTTGGCAAAAAAAACCAAAACAGAAAAGTTAATATAAAATCTTCTCTCCTCAAAAATGCCTCCTTCCAATCCAAAAGCAC